GCTGGCCGGTAGCTATGAAGTGCACTGACCCAGACCTTGCTGCTGGGGCCCTGACAGCCCTGAATCTGGTTCCCCCACACCCGGGACCCAGACAGGAGGGAGGAGGGAGCCCAATTCCTCGTGGAATCAGCTGTGCCTTAGCTTGTTGCTGGGGCCCTGACAGCCGCAAATCTCATTCACATGCACCCCGGACCCAGACAGGAGGGAGGAGGGAGCCCAATTCCTTGCAGAGCCTCCATTGGTTAGCTTGCTGCTGGGGCCAACCTCCCACGGTCCCTCCCCCCGGCCGGCCGCCTATGGTTCCTCCCCCTGGCAGGCTGGCCCCCCGATTGGTGCCAATCGTGGGCCAGGCCGAGGGACCCCACTCATGCATGAATTTGTGCACCCGGCGTCTAATTTATTCATAAAGATATATGCACGCCTATGCTCATTGCAGCATTATTCATGGTGGCCAAGACATGGAAACAACCCAAGTATCCTTTGGTAGATTATTGGATTTAAAGAATGGGTACATATATCATGCATGAATTTGTGCACCCGGCGTCTAATTTATTCATAAAGATATATGCACGCCTATGCTCATTGCAGCATTATTCATGGTGGCCAAGACATGGAAACAACCCAAGTATCCTTTGGTAGATTATTGGATTTAAAGAATGTGGTACATATATATAATATAATATTGATCATCCATAAGAAAAGATGAAATACTGCCATTTGTGACAACATGGATGGACCTTGAGATTGACATGCTAAGCGAAATAAGTCAGAAATAAGAACCACATGATTTCACTCATATGTGGGATATAAAAAAACTGAAAGCAACAAATGAACAAACAAGACAATAAAAAACAACAACTCATAGGCAAAGATAGCAGTATAGTGGTTACCAGAGGGTAAGGGGAGTTGGGAGAGGTAGTAAAGGGGGTCAAATAGATGGTGGTGGAAGGAGACTTGACTTGGGGTGATAAACACATGGTACAATATACAGATGATGTACAATTGAATAATTGTACATTTGAAACCTATATAATTTTATTAACCAATGTCACTCCAATAAATTTAATTTTTTATAAAAGCAGATTTTATTCCTGTAAATACCTAAGCTAAGAAAGAATCCATCAGACACCATGAATAACCAAGGTAACATTGTAGTTCAGAAAAAAAGAGAGAAATATCCAGAAATTGAACTTAAAGACATGGAAATATGTTATTTAAATTACCAAGAATTCAAGATGCAGTTCTGAAAAAAAAACACCTCAAAATAAAAGCTCAGCAAGGTACTATAATGAACTCAGAAATAAAATCAATGAACTAAAGGATTGCTTTACCAAAAAGATTGAAACTATTAAAAAATGGAAATTTTGGAGGTGAAGAACTCAATAAAAGAGATGAAGAATGAACTAGTCAGCATAGGAAATAGAGCAAACCAAATGGAGGAAAGAATTAGTGATATCAAATATAGAAATCTAGAAATGACTAAGGTGGAAGAAGAGAGAGATTTGAGAGTTAAAAAAAAGAACTCTATGAGAACTATCTGATTTCATCAGAAAGAGCAATGTAAGAATAACAGGTATAGCAGAAAAAGATGAGTGGGAAAATGGAACAGGGAGCACATTTAAACAAAATAATCAATGCAAACTTCCCAAACCTATGGAACAACTAGATTCTCTTATAGAAGAAGCAAACAGAACACCTATATATCTTAAGCCAAAAGTGTCTTCTCCAAGGCAAATTATATTAAAACTGTCAAAAATTAATGACAAAGAAAGAATTCTCAAGGCAGCCAGGGATAAAGATGTGCTCCCTGTGTACAATGGGAAAAGAGATGTACATAAATGCCCCTATTATGCTGCTACTAGTAAACAAGACAAAGGTAGCCTGGAGGGCAGCAACTGCCCCTTCTGAATAGTTTTGGCTGTGCTAAGCAAGCCCACCCTCCAGTTCATTCTGACCATCAGTGTGGCGCTAGCTGCTAGCCTCTTGGCCTGGTGCTACAAGTGAAGAAGCCATCAAACACCGTTGGTGGCCTACTCCTGAATGAATGTTTGCCCACCCCCACCTCCCCTGTGATAAAACCACCAGCTCAGGTGACTTTTTAAATGCTAGATTTGAGAAAACAAGGAACCAATAAAAGCCAGAAGCTAAAACCTCTGCTGGTTAGTATCCTCTGGTCCAGGTGCTTAGCTGGCTATAGGCCCACCCTCCCTGCAGCCCCTAGGCTGTGGCACAGGGTGCAGCCAGTGCAGCTCAGCAGACTGGCCTAGGTCTTTGGAACCAGCCCTGCTCCTGGGGTGCCCACACCTCTCACCCTGAGGCTGTTCCCTTTGTTCTTCCTGTCATATAAACATTTAGGTTGGCATTTTTCCCCTGCTGCGAGTGAGCAGACAGCAAGGCTAGGCTTCAGTAGCTCAATGGGAGGAAGGCGGGCCTTCCTAGATGCTCCTGCTCTGCTGCAGGGCCTTTCCTGGGTATAGAGGGACAGAAGCCAGGCTGTCACCCTGCCTTCGAGGCCCTGGGAGCTCCATCCTTGGTAGCCAGTCCTCATCCCTCTCCAGCAAAAAACCTCAAAGAAG